GTCTGTGGCTGCGACAATGAGGACAGGTAGTTGGAGTTGAAAAATTGCAGTGAAAACATTAAGTAGGCGTTGTTCTAGGGCGACCTCAACAATGGAAGGCGGTCAGGAGTGACGAGCCGATGTGGAAGACATAGGAAAGATATCACCACATTGGGAGCGGGGATACAACTATAGCACCACTTGAATCCTTGGATGCAACCCTCAATGGGAAAACAAAGACGTCGACACCTGTTTCGAACAAAAATTCAAAAAGAACTAAAAAATTAAAACACGAAAAGAGAATATATAAGCCTTTGATACTCATATTGGGACCTTTTATAGAAAGGAGGCATCAAACCATTGTGGAAGAGCTAGTCAACACTCCCAGGTCTGGTTAGGTTCGTTCCAGGCGTCTCGTTGGAAAGTGGAAGAACTCCCGCTTTCACATGCGGAGATGCGATACTACGCCCCTTTTGATGCTTGCGTTCTCCTAAGGTTGAAGGGGCTTCGACCTCATCTGTCGATGCTTCTAGCTCCTCGTAGTATAATGTCAGGTTTGTCATGTTGAAGGTGGTAGAACAACTGTAACTTACTGGTAAATCAGTCTTTTAGGTATTTTCATTTCAAAATACATCTTAATAGAATAAGTATTCATCATCTTTTAGCAGAACTTGAGCTGGAGCTGCATATAGACGTATATTCTCATAAGGTTACTCTTAAGCTATTAAATATATAATCTGCTTCTCTGACTCATCGTACTAGGCTGAGTGTATTTGTTAAACAAGCATGTTAGATTGAATCAACTCTGAAATAAAATTATGATAGGTTGGATCATACTGAATTGTAACCACTCACATGAGGCTTCATGTTCTTCTTTGAAAGGATTTGGATTCCACTGTAGGATGTTCTTTTCTGCAAGGCTCCTAAGTCAATTTTCAACATTGCGGGTTATCCTTCATGTTTGACCATCCGTAGGTGGATGCACCACCGAGTTAAATTTATTACCGAAATGATTTCTTGTGGTATTCCAGAAGTACTTCAAAAGTTTCTCATCTTTGTAATGTTGGACCTACCTCAATAGGGGCAACTCAGGAGGTACACTATATATATGAAAATTCTAAAATTTTCCTATCTGAAGTTACCCGTGTCTAGTATTGGCTTGTCAAACTCATGGCTTTTTTGGACTTCCAATGTCAGTCCTGCTGATGCTCCTCTTTTTGTCTGCAAAAAGGTAATTTGAGGCACCACAATTTCATACCCTGCATGAATGCCCATTACCTTGAACTCACTGCATGTTAGAACAATTATTGTTAATTCAATCGGAGCCGCTCTCATGAGGTCGATTGGAATTCCTGCACTTCCTCGTTGACTGGAAGTTGAGAATCCTCTATAAAATCTTCATATTCTCCTGGATCACTATTTATTCTTTCAATTGCTCCCTAATCAGTGAAAGAGTTCATTTTTTTTGCTGTGGAATCTGATTCAATATGCCTAAATCTGTGGCACTTGAAACACTTCCTGGTTGGGATTGTAGATTGGTTCCACTTATTCTCCACTTTGAACTAGTGTCTTCTCAGGTTGGGTCAACTTTGATGTTCCTTGGTGTACTTTAGCTGAAATAATCTAAAAGTTGAACCCTGCTTGTAAGTTGTAGCAATCGCTCGGTGATATCGAGGAATCTTCAAGTTCTCCCACCACCAAGAGACTTTTCCTTGCTAACAATTAGTTTCGTCATTCTATCCAATGGGACATTCTGATATTCAAAGGGAAGTTTCACGAGATAGAGCCGCTTGATGGATTGAAGTGACTATCAAAATATGACAAATTTATGTTTTCTCAGATAGTTCAAGTCAAATCTTTATGGTAATGCTTCTTCATCTATGGAATTTACCTGCTTTAAGGGATTCATTTCATTCTTTCGATTTGATAAGTCAGCGTTGTGGCTACAGGTGATCTTTTCAGGTTTTGTCCTCCCTATGGCGGCAATCCTATAAGATTAGGGATAAACTAGCTCTGTCCAAATGATACTGGAATTAACCCAAGCAACAATCAAAAAACAAATGTTATTGTTGAATTTAAATAGGAAATTATAATTGACTTATGAAAAATTGATATTGCAACAATCGACAACGCAAGCCCAAGCTAGGGCTAGATCTGGGGTGGTGGTGGTGATCGACGAAGATTTGGGCCTCCTAAGTGGTAGCAATGGGTTCTTAGAGAGTGGGATAGTAGGGCGACAACAAAAGGGGAATGGAGGGGGCTGTGGCGGCAATGTAGGATGGCTTGATAGCGGTAGCTTAGCAAGGAGACGAATTTGTGGGGTTGTGGAAACAATGCAGGATGGCTGGATGGAAGTTGGATGATTGAACATCAGTACATAGCAAGAAGAGGGCCTTACAGGGTTGCTGCAGCGAGGCAAAGGGCTGAGAGGAGATGGAGGGTGCTGGGATGGCCAGAACAGTGATGCCAGCAATAGGGTTGAAATCGTAGTGGTAGCGGGTAGGGAATGATGGTAGCAACGACGGGGGATGTAAGGGGCTGCCGGACATCCAATCTCTTGCTGTCCGGGGCGGCGACAACGAGGATAGGTTGCTGGAATTGGAAAACTGCAGTGAAAACATCAAATAGATGCTGCTCAAGAGTAGCTGTAGGGGTAGATGCGGAAGGTGATGGGGAAGATAAACACCATCTTGGAAAAACACTTGATTCTTGGATACAGCCCTCAATGGAAAAAAGAGACATTGACAGCTATCCTGAACAAAAAACACAAAGTCTAAAAAACTAAAGCACGAAAAACAAAAAATATATAATCCCTAGATACTTGAATGGGGTCCCGCTGTGGAAAGGTGGCTCCAAAGCATCGTGAAAGAGCCAGTCGGCTCTCCCAGGATTGGACTGGTTCAATCCACCCGAAATGGAGAACTCCCGCGCCAGCTTGCGGAGACGCGATCTTGCATACCTTTTGACACCTGCATTAGCACAATGAGAGCAAGTAGAAAATGATTTTCTTACATGGTCATGATTTCTGTTCCTTAGCTACCACGACTACAATCACTATGATCATTATGATGCCCTATGGCAAGGGTTAATTGGTCAGACACTGTCCGGATAGTTAATGAGCGCTAATGACCGTGTGAACTCAGGAGAGAGCTTAGGCAGTGTTGGGAGTGTTTCGCCATCCTTTGTGATTGATGTTGGAAGGAAGAACTCCAATAGGGTTAGATCAATATTCAATGGTAAAGGTCATGTTTAAAAAATTTATCCCACTTGTAATGTATTTAGTATCCTTGGGGAGGAAAATCATCTAGAAGAGAAAAAAAAATTTCATAATGCATAGTATAGACACAAGAAATATTATTTTCTTGGAAATAAGTTGAGCGAATAAAGTCCCAAATTTGCTTTGCAGTGCCGGAAAACATAATAGTGGATATAGATACTTCCAAGTCCATTGAGTTAACAATTGAGCACATTGAGATATGATGCTTGCCATTTAACAAACTTGATGGTGCTGTCCCGAATCCGGACAGATGAATTAAAACCTTGAAGTTTGTCATGAGACCCATTACAAAGGCCCTCAACCATGGAATATGAATTTTTTATTAACTTTGATTGTTGTCTTGACCAAGCGAGTGCATCTGAGTGCGACCATATGTGTAGGCAAATGTGGGCGGTGCAGACACAGTGCTAGGCAGACTATATCAACATTGGTGTTGGAGTGACACAAGTAGTGCAATGGATAGGGTAATGGGCATTCATGAGCAGAGCTATTGCTAGTGGAAGCAACATGAAAACTGTTGAGAGTGCTTAAGATTGCATAACAAAAAAAAGTGTTGAGATTCAACCGTGAGATGCCTAGAAAAATTGGTTGAAAATGTGACTGATTTGATTTTTTTTTTCTCAATGGTACTTTGGTCTTGGTGACAAGAATTTTTAAACCTTGAGAGAAGAACAATACAGTGGCACTTTTTTTTTTCCCCAACGAAATCTCTCTCTCTCTCTCTCTCTCTGTTATTTGTATTTTTATTTTTTCTTTTGTGAAACTTGTGTTTGATGTATCTGGGTGTTTGAGTGAAGAAAGAAGCTTTTTCTTAAATGCCACAGAAGTAAAATAAATAAATGATGGTGCAAGTAAAGAAAAAACCACTATTAGAGATGGCTTAAAATGATCCAGTGAAAGTTATCGCATCGCTGGACAGTGAGAAGAAATTTTAAATTTGTTGAATTCATGTAGCGAAGCCTATGTTCTTTCACTCCGCTATTTCCTCATCTTTAATATAGATGAAATTGCATTTATTTTCTGCCCCTACGCCCATCAACTATTTGACAAACATGTTTGCTTTTGCAGTGTTATAGTAATGGATGAAGCACACGAGAGGTCCCTTAGCACAGATGTCTTGTTCGGCATATTGAAAAAGGTAGTTGCTCAGAGATGGGACTTAAAGCTCATAGTGACATCTGCCACGTTGAATGCCCAAAAGTTCTCCAACTTCTTCGGAAGTGTTCCTATATTCCACATTCCTGGAAGAACGTTCCCCGTTAACATCCTCTACAGTAAAACTCCATGTGAAGATTATGTTGAGGCTGCTGTGAAGCAGGCCATGACTATCCACATAGCTAGTCCTCCAGGCGACATCCTCATCTTCATGACCGGACAAGACGAAATTGAAGCAACCTGTTATGCTCTCGCCGAGCGAATGGAACAACTAACGACATCCACTGCGAAGGCAGTTCCCAGGCTATCCATTCTACCCATCTATTCCCAGCTGCCTGCAGACCTGCAAGCGAAGATTTTTCAGAAGGCTGAAGATGGTGCAAGGAAATGCATTGTTGCCACCAACATTGCAGAGACCTCGCTAACTGTGGATGGGATCTTTTATGTTATAGACACAGGCTACGGGAAGATTAAAGTTTACAACCCGAGGATGGGCATGGATGCTCTCCAAGTTTTTCCAGTGAGCCGAGCTGCTGCAGACCAACGGGCAGGGAGAGCAGGAAGAACTGGCCCGGGAACATGCTATCGCTTATACACAGAATCTGCGTACCAGAATGAGATGTTAGCCACCCCTGTGCCTGAGATCCAGCGAACCAACCTTGGTAATGTGGTGCTACTGCTCAAGTCCCTGAAAGTAGAGAACTTGTTGGATTTTGACTTCATGGATCCGCCTCCACAGGAGAACATCCTCAATTCCATGTACCAGCTCTGGGTTTTGGGCGCTTTGAACAATGTTGGAGGACTCACGGAAATAGGTTGGAAAATGGTGGAGTTCCCTTTGGATCCACCTCTAGCGATTCTTCAGGCCCAAGGATAGGGCTGAGGAAAGCGATGCTGCAAGGGAGAAATTTTTCGTTGCGGAGTCCGATCACCTCACGCTTCTCAACGTCTATTTGCAATGGAAGGCAAACCAGTATCGAGGAGACTGGTGCAACGATCACTTTCTACAGGTGAAGGGTCTTCGGAAAGCGAGGGAAGTAAGATCCCAACTGCTCGACATACTAAAAACACTAAAGATTCCGCTCACTTCTTGTGGGATGGATTGGGATGTGGTGAGGAAGGCAATCTGTTCCGCATATTTTCATAACTCCGCGAGATTGAAAGGTGTTGGGGAGTATGTCAATTGTAGAAATGGCATGCCTTGCCATCTTCATCCGAGTAGCGCTCTATACGGGCTTGGATACTCGCCGGATTATGTGGTTTATCATGAACTGATTCTGACAACCAAGGAATTCATGCAATGTGCTACTGCAGTAGAGCCACAATGGCTTGCAGAGTTAGGACCAATGTTCTTTTCTATTAAGGAGTCTGATACTTCAATGCTTGAGCATAAGAAGAGGAAAAGGGAAGAGAAGACTGCAATGGAGGCTGAGATGGAGAATCTGCGAAAGGATCAGGCGGAGTTTCAGAGAGTGAGCAAGGAGAAAGAGAGAGAGAAGAGGACTAAGCAGCAGCAGCAGGTGGTAATGCCTGGTCTTAGGAAGGGTTCTTCAACATATCTCAGACCCAAAAAGTTTGGATTGTAATTTTACCAATATTTCATGTACAAAATTGATATTTAAATATTTTTTAACAAGAGATGAATTGATGTAACGGTTATGTATTTTGGATGTAAAGCTTGTTAAGATAAGCCCCATACTTCTAGTTATTAAAAATAAAATAAAACTGATTAGCTCAAGAATGAAAAATCTGGAAGGAATTGAAGCGAGGATCAACGAATTGAGAGTGAGATCCTGTGAGACAAATGATTGATTCTTCTGAGGAGTGGTGGGTAGAGAGACTTGTGGTGAGCATTTTTTAAATGTCCCTTTTTAGTTAGTTTTTTATTGTTGTTAATTTGAACTACATATTAAATGAATTTGTAGGTGGTGCTTAATGCAGGAAAAAATTAAATACATTTAAATGGTCCTAAGTTGGGGAAGAAGTTGGATCGTATTATTGTGGGTGTTGTGGCAATAAGCAACAATGCATGTGCCCAAATCTAATAATAAAAAGTGTTAATAAAGAAAGAAGCAAACTAATCTAAGAACATATTTAACATATTTTAGGATCGGAATGACTCATCTTTCTCATCCTTCTAATTTTTAATTATAGGAAAGAAATTCACTTAGGATGCTTAAAATTGTTTTTTCTCTTAAATTATTCTGATATAAATTTTGATTGATTATATATATAAAAGATGGCCAGAAACTATTATACGAGCTTTTAGCCACCTCTAATCTGTCTAACAATTCGAGCACCACCTTCTTAAGATCAACTGAGCCAGAGGAGATTTGAACTCCCGACCTGAGGGGTCTTATACCGTGTATGCCAACCAACACGCTAAGGTACACGACTCTCTCTCTCTCTCTCTCTCTCTCTCTCTCTCTCT